GCACGTTTCGCGCTGGGAATGTTAGAAATCTGTCATAGTTTCAGTAATTGTAGCTTGGTCTGGAAGCTTGGCACAATAAGGGATCATTTATAAAATGTGTATTTTCTTTGGCACTCAGACTGAAGCTTGCCAGGCAATACATCTAATTAAGAATGAGGGGAAGGGAGTGATTGTGGTCTGTCATCATGTATTTCCATTACTTGAAGGTACCAAACTTACTGTGACTTTTAAAATCACGGTCTCATAACAAGGTTTATATTTGGACCTAGAAGTAATTTCTCCTTTATTAACCCAGGTTTTTCATACAGGAACGTATCTTATTTTACAAATAAGAGTTCATTAGTTGCATTCTAGATACAACTCTTTGTGTGTTATTTAAGCTGCAAGAGGCTTGGCTGCTCTCCTTAGAAACAACCTTTGTCCATTGTTTTAGACCTTGAAATTTGATGCATTGTCTTTGGGGAGCTTAGACAGCTTTATTTAAGTTTAACTTTCTCTGGAGAGGCATAGAGATAATGAAATGCAATTCCTTACTCGAACATAACCATGTACATAACTTCTAGTCCTCCCTGATGCATAAAGCAAATTTGATAAGAGCAATTCAAATATTGTAACAATTAATGTTGATTTCTTTTTTTTTTTTAAAGTTGCTAAGAAACCTATGTCAGCGGTTCAGGTATGTGGGGATAACCATTTCTGAGGCCAGATTTTCATTGTGTTATATACACTGTCATTTTAAAAATTTTCCTGGTTTATTTTTAGAGGACATCTTGGTTATAATGGTTTTGAAAGGAATTATGGGAAAGGAGAAATGAAAGGGTTTGGGAGTATATATACAGGGAACACACACTGCAGTGTTTAGCTTATAGGTTCAGTCTTGGATTATTTAACTTTGTGTGAATCTGTACTGTTTTTTTTTAAACCACATCATAGAACTACTTTTTCTGTATTAATTTATACTTTTATTTCTTTTTGATAAAGATTCTAATCAAAAACAACATAGAGAACAAAGAGATAGTTGGGTTGTACTTCCCAACCCCAGGTCGTCATTCAGGGAAGTAGAAGTCAAGTAGGAGTCTAGAGACAGAAGCTGAAGCATAGATCAGAGAGAGAATGCTACTTACTAACTTGCACCCACAGTTTGCTTTCTTAGACAAGCCCAAACAACCCGCCTAGGGATGGCACCACCTACAGAGAAGGCTGGGCATTCTAATACCAAATGTTAACCAAGCACATCTCCTATAGCCTTACCTACAGGCCCATCTGATAGAGATATTTTATCAACTGGAGTTTCCTGTTCCCAGAGGATTCCAGCTTTTGTCATGATGACACAAAACTAGCTATAACATCTCCTGAGTGAGTAAATAGATTTCTCTGATAACTGTCATATCTGACACTTTTGTTTCTGTCATTACCTTCAAGTTAAGGTATAACTAAAGCACAGATGAAGATTCTCCTTCCCCGTCTATCTTCATCCTGACTTGTCTAACCAAAATCTTTCTCTTCTTATCCTTCCTGTCTCATTGTTACACTAACAGGGCTCATTACTCCTCCTCCCTTTTTCAAAAACATCACAGAATAATCATGAGGTATTAGAATTTTAAATAAATCCTGGTGCAGGGTTAATACCTGCCTCAGTGGTTTATGTTCTCAAGTGAAAGACATAGGCACAGTCTTTATTTTTTATAAGCCTTGAGCAGTACAATAGCTTGGCAACTGCCTCCCCTCCGTGCTGTTAGAATCTACTGCCTCCCCAAAACTCCAAGTAACTACATAATAATTTCTACGTTCCATCTTGGCTGTTCTCGACCAAATTGAGCAGCCCTCTGACCAAGTTCTCTTGGCTCCTTTTTATGGCGGCTCTGCTTCTCCATCTTGCATATTATTGCCTTCCATGGCAAGCTCTACATCTCTCTCCTTCTTCCTCTATCTGGTTCTAAGACCAGGAACCCTAAACCCTGCCTATTCTCTCTTCCCCAGCTATTGGTCATCAGCATCTTTATTTATTAATCAGAATTAACTGGAGGCAGGTTCCCAAAAGCTACATCCAGAGCCTCTAGTGAAAACAGTTTTGGGAGACCCAATTAGCATTAAAATACAAATAAACTACATAATCATTCTTGTGAATTACACCTTATGGGTTCATTGTCTTCTAGGGATAAGGTTCAGAATCCAAAGGTCAGCACTTCAGAGTCAGTGTTCTGGTGCTCAGTGGAGTGTACGAATTGAGGGGGAGTTATACATAGATGGTATGGCTACCTTCCTTCAGGTAGCATTCAACAATTTATTTTTCAGGTAACAAGATATAGAAAGACACATCTTTTTAAATCCTAGTCCACATGCACATACCCTATGTAGGCTAGTAAAAAGTCAGAAATTTGGAGATACCTGACCCACTTTAATGTAACATGCAGACAAGTATCTGCTTCCTTCCTCCTCTTCTTGTATCAGACTTACCACTCTCTACAGAAACAAATGGAACCTTGCAGAAATATCAGATGGGTACATCATTCTTATCTGATTCCTCTATGAGATCATGACAGTGATCTTATTTTTACACAATTGCATCATGAGCCGTAGTTATCTTAAGTTGTAGCATGTTTTATATTCAAATCCAAACTTTAAAGCAATTCAGGGCATGTTGGAGAAATAAACTCAGGTAATCCTTAGAAAGTCTGTTTGTTGTATGCTATTCCTATCCCTGAGGATAAAGAGGCACAGATTGACTGCAAATAGTAGTGAGTGTTTAGTTGTTGTTATTGTTTTGTCTTTTGCTGGATTTGTTTTCTTTTTGTGGAAATAACCCAAAACAGGTTTTTATTAAAAAACAAACATACAAAATAACCTCTGGCATAATACTGTCTTTCAGTTTTGTTTTAATTTGTTTTTCCTTATCCTGGGAGCAGGGGGGAGCTATCTAAGTGCAAAAAAAGTAGATTTAGGGGAAAATGAAAGGAGCAATAAAAAATGTAAAGGATCCAATACACAAAAAGTATTCTCAGGACCCCCCTACTTACTGGGGTTCTCTGAGGTTGCAGCCATGTTCTCCTTCTCTACCCTAGCTCCTCTTCTCTCATGTGATAGATCTCATCGGTAGGCAACGGAGAGCAAGAGACAAGGGTGTCACAGAGGCTACCAGTCCGTTACCTGCAACTGGCTTCCTCTCTTACTAACCAAGCTGGGCATGCAGCTTGGCATCTGTGCAGTAATTGGTTTTATAATACATATTTGTCAAAATAAAAAGATGGATTTTCTCTTGGGGGAAACAGAGAGCACACTTTTTCAGTACTCTCCTGATCAGTTGTTCCCAGGCATCAGACTCATTTTTGGTCTGGAAAGAAAAAAATACAAAACAAAACACCAAAAACAAGCCAACAGAAAACATTAAAATCACTGCAGCAAACTGGACAGCATTTTCCTTTGAATTGCTGATGGTTATTTAGGTTACTCTCAAGGTATCTGTTCTTTAAAAGCATACTGGCATACTGGGTCCACAGAGAAAAAAATGTTAATTTATACTGCAATGCTAAAGGTCCTAAACCACAGATTTCTTGAGCTCAGATCTGTATTTGAATTAATTATAGGGAAGAGATTATGTGATAAAATTCATAATGCAACTAGCTGGAAAGAAATGTCCAAAATGAGTTTGCCCTACCCCTCACCTGGGCAAAGCTGGAGAGCTGGTCCTGGTGGCAACGGAGGCACAAGGGATCTGATGGGCTGACCAACCCCATCTATAAAGTGCTGGAACACATGAAGGGGCCAGTTCTGCTGATCTGAAGCTGCAGAATCTCTATGACACAGGGCCACCACAGTCTATACAAGAGGATTCTTGTTGAGGATTCAGTATTGGGAGTGTAACAGAAGCCAGAGCCCTCAAGCCAGACCCATGACTCACTGTAGTGAACGTTTGCTAGAAAAAGAATGTCTGAACAAAGGAGTATACTGTGTGACATACTGTTACACACCAAAGCTCCATGGTGAGATTTTTTTCTATTTATCTATTTATTTATTTATTTATTTATTTATTTATTTATTTATTTTTGTTGCTTTTTCTTTTGGGTGGGAGATTGCAAGTGTCAGAGAGCAGATATGTGGGACTGTGGGATGGGAAGGTGAAGTGCTATTGCAGTTTATGGTGTGACGTTAATGAAAAATCACTTAAAGTTTAAAAATATCTGAGATGGATTAAAAGAGAAGAATAATAAGTAGCCTGACTTCTCACAATGCAAGGTTGAATGTGTATGTCTCAACAATAAATGATATTTGGATTCAATACCTGGGTCCACCAAGATATATCTAAACTGAGACTTTTTATTAATTAATTATTTTATATATTTATATCCCAAATGCTACCCCCTCCCAGTTCCTCCTTGCAGCATACTTTCTCTATCACTCTACCCTTTCACCTCTGAGAGGGTGACCTCACCCTGGGTATTCCCCCACCCTGGGACAGTAAGTCTCTGAGTTTTACTATAACTTAAAAAAATGAAAATAAAGTCTAATGCTATTCATCTTCTTTATATTTTTGTCTAAATTTTGATACCATAGATTTTAACTTTTTTCTTTTAAGACTAGAAGTAAATATATTTTGGGCTTATCTAAATGGAAAGTGTATAAGTCTGATTACTATTAGTTTATGTTGTAAATCTGTTGTTTATGTGAGTATAGATATTTGTCTAGAGGAGCTAGAAAAGTTACTCAGTTGTTTGGCGTTGCTTGTACTCTTAAAGAGGACTCATGTTCATTTCCCAGCTCTCAATTGTGGTAGCTAACAACAGCCTATAATTCCAGATCCAGCGTAACCAATGCCTGCCCTCTTCTGGTCTCTGCAGACACCTACACACAAACACACACACACACACACACACACACACACACACACTAAAAGTGGCTACAAATGATAAAATATGTTTTAATATATATATATATTTATATATATTATATTTTATCTATTTATATACGAACCAACACAACTAATATGTATCATTAATTTTCAGGGGGAAAGGACCACTAAAGCATACCACTGATGTAATCTATGCAGCTAAAATGATCTCAGAGTCAGGATCAAGGATGGATGTTCTCGCTCGGCAGATTGCTAACCAGGTGAGCTACCTATAAATAGACATAGGAAAGTCTTTACTGTTTTCTCTCTTCTGTTTAATTATTGACTACAGTGAAGGTTGATAAGTATTTTTTTAAACTCTATTGAGTACATTTGCTTCCTATATTAGAGTTTCAAAAATGTATAACGTTGTAATTATGCAAGTTGTGAGACAATAAACTCTAAGAAAGTAAGATTAGTTTTAGAGGAGATATATATATATATCTTTCAATGTACTTTATCTTAAAATCAGCTTTATCAGATTGAAATGAATTTCTTTTAGTTGGCTATAACGGCATAATGGATATTGTCTTTTCCTTGGTGTTAGTGAGTAGTTCACACTTTTTAATCTTCTAAAATATTAACTGCTTGACATCAACAGCTTGCAGCGTTATTAGAAAAATAAAGTAAGATGTAAAATTTAGGTGTTATGTAACTCTTGGGCCGATTGGTATTTTTGCACACCTTTCATTTCTTTCCCTTCTGTTTTTCACATATTTTAAAACTCTTATTTAAGCAGCGCCATATTGTAAAATTGTCTGAATAGTGAGAAATTAATACTTCAGACAGGAGTGTAATATGACTATATTTAATATATATTTATTATCCTTTTTAACTTCATAGTTAATATTTCTCTAGAGGGGAAATACCACTTTGATTTTGCATATAGGCCATATAGTCAGAGATGCTTTTTAGTATGCTTGCTCCTGTCCCATCTCACTCTTCATACATACACTGTGGGAACACGAGAAAATTTAATCTGATAGATAATATATTTGGGGGTATAATGGAGAGTGGACAAATGTCAGAGAAAACTGCCCAAGAAAAGTATACTTTTTAATTCCTTGAGTGTGCACTGTTTGTATCAATAGCTTACTACTTTAAACAGTTAAAAATTGAATTAATCTGTTGTGTAATGATCATTTGAAACTCCAGAAGCAAGCATGACTCTCCAATAGTTTTAGATTTCACAAGGATTGAAATTTCTGATTTTCTGAGCAAGAGTTCTCAAAAGGTTAAGACTACATACATTTCCTTAAAAATCTGAGGCCATCCCATATTTGAAGTACTTCTTGTGCAAGCCCTGAAGCTAAGAGTTTCTGACACAAAACTTAGTGTTCATATCTAAAGACAAACTTTATTATCTTGAAGTTCAGAATTTCCTAATTTAATAAATAAACAGAACCTACTCTTGTAAATAATCTGCCTTATTTTCGAATTGTATTGCAATTACTATCATGAGAGAGACTAGATATTAGTGGAAAATGAATGTATAATATTTTAGACAGATATGTATATAGCAAGGATCCTTAAGTACTAAATATGTCCTAGCTTTGTCCTGTTTGCTTTAGATTATATAACTATAACAGTTAAAAATCATAATTTTTAATTTTACATACTTTTTATTCTTAAATCTGACCAAATAACTGTAGAGTTGATGCTTTGATATTATTAAATCTTGCCATCATTTTAATATTATTCTAATTATGTGGGAGGGAAGAAAAAGTACCAAATTACTTCTATACAGCATTTATATTTTCCAAGAAACCTAACAAACAGTCATTAGCTAGTAATTATGAATAACAGTCCTCAAACTTCCACAAGGCAGAAAGTTTCTAGGGATGCCATCTGTTCTGAACAAATGTGGCTTTGAACAATCAATACTGGAGTTTGTGAATCTGATAGTGTTAATTTAGTGACCTTCATTGGAGGTCACCCATGAATGTGCACTTGTTCACATAAACACACATACACACACCAACCTGCACACAAACACACACATACAGACATACACATATACCCATGCAAACACACAGATACATGCATACACACCTGCATACATACATTCACACACATGTCCACACAGACGCACACATGAAGCATGCATGTACACACACAATCACACAAATACATACACACATATGCACACACGCATGTTAGACTTTAAATAATTTAAAATATTTTTAGAACGCAATTGGTAGAATGGTGATAGCTAAGTTATTTCTAGTGCTTGTAAATATTGTGAGAGGTTTTACTGGTGGTGTCGGGTTACTATCTATTTTATTCAATTCAGAATTTCAGACTTCAGCAATTTTTATGAATTATTCCACTCTGTTCATTTTACTTTCTGATGGACTATCAAAATGTTCATTGACAGTTTTTAATTCTACATTACATAAATTGATAATGTATTAGTATCTACTGGGTTAAGTCAAAATATAAGTATATGTGCTAGACCGTTTTAGTTTCATTTTGTGTAGTGTAAGAGTTATGTGCACAGAGAATGATATGAAAGCTATTTAACTGAAGACTGTTTCTTGACGCTTGCTTTGTTCTCCATTTTCCATTTCTATCTTCCTCTAATACTGAATTGTTATACACACACAAGCCACAGTTCACTACTTAACAAATTGCTGTTATCTAGTTACAAAGAGAACTGAAAGCCTCTAATCATTTGATTTCGGATTGCTTTACCTGATTATTTAATTGTATAAGATTGTGACATGTAGAATAATTTAATACCATGATCAAGTGAAGATGGTTACATTCTCCTTTCACATTTTGAAACGTACAAACTTTGCTTTTCTTATGTAGCACAGAATATAAGATCTTCTACTAATACCCTCACCTAAACTTATTTGTATCACGTAACATTTCTTGGACCTGAGAATTAAGTTGAGAGGTTGTAACCTTTCACACTGCAATTCAACACAGCACAACACTTGTGCCAAACTTGCATGCATTCCGTAGTATATTTCTAAAGGTCAGGGTATTGTTATCTACCACAATTCTTAAGGAAATTGAAAATTAATAACATAATAGCAAACTAGAGGATAGCAATACAAGAGCAGCCTTCCCACACCCAGGCTCATGTGTTATTAATTCCTCTAATCTATGATTTTTCTATGCCAGCAGACACTGCAAATTCGATGGTGTAACCAACACCATATATAGCAGGGAAAATACAGAGTTGCTTAGGTGCAAATGCAATATGAAAGCGGGAGCAAAGGTGACTGGCAAGTCTTTGTTTGGTAACCAGTGGCGTAGGTTTTTAGTCCTTCTCTGTGATACAAATCATTTGATGAGACCAACTTCTTGGCCAAATTTATTTTTTTTTTCAGTTTGATTTTTCTTTTTTTGAAATTAATTTTTTAGTGGATATTTTATTTACATTTCAGATGTTATCCCCTTTCCCCATTTCCCTCCACCTAGAAACCCCCTATTCCATCTCCCTCCTCCTGCTTCTATGAGGATGTGCTCCCACCCACCCACCCACCCACTCCCACCTCCCCACCCTCAAATTCCCCCACACTTGGGCAGATGCTCACAACTAACCATTGAACTGATCACAGGGATCCCAATGGAGGAGTTAGAGAGAAGACTGAGGAGCTGGAGGGCTTTGCGGCCCCATAGGAAGAGCAACAATACCAACTGACCAGAGCTTCCAGAGTCTAAACCACCAGCCTGGGAGCACATAGGGAGGGACCCATGGCTCCAGCGGTATATGTAGGGGAGGATGGACTTGTTGGGCATTGGTGGGAGAGATCCTTGGTTTCTCTCTCTCTCTCTCTCTCTTTTTTTAAGATTCATTTATTTATTATATATGAATACACTGTAGCTGTCTTCAGACACACCAGAAGAGGGCATCAGATCTCATTACAGATGGTTGTGAGCCACCATGTGGTTGCTGGGATTTGAACTCAGGACCTCTGGAAGTGCAGTCAGTGCTCTTAACCACTGAGTCATCTCTCCAGCCTGTTTTTTTTTTCTCTTTTACCATGCCTTTTGCTTTTCTTGTTTTGTTTTATTGAACTACAATGTAATCTTCATTAAGAGTTTATAGACCACTGTTAGTCAATTCTTTATTCAAAATATAAGAAATACCAGATGCAGACACCCGCAGCCAAACAGTAGATGGAGCTTGGAGACTCTTATGAAAGAATAGGAGGAAGGATTGTGGCACCAAAGGGGATAGGAACTTCACAGAAAGACCAACAGAGTCAACTAACCTGGACCCTTGCTTGGTTCTCTCACAGTCTGAAGCACCAACCAAAGAACATACATGGGCGGAATCTAGGCTTCCCTGCACATATGTAGCAGATGTGCAGCTTGGTCTTCATGTGGGTCCCGAACAACTGGAACGGGGGCTTCCCAAAAGCTATTGCCTGTACATGGGATGTGTTCTAGCTGGGCTGCTTTTTCTGGCATCAGTGGGAGAGGAAGGACCCAGCCTCATAGAGACTTGAAGTGACAGGGTGGGAGATACCAAGGGGGGTGGGCCACCCACTCAGAGTAGAAGGGTAACGAGGATAGGGGTAGAATTGTGGGAAAAGGTGATCCAGAAGGGGGCAGTGAGAAGGATGTAAAGTGAGTAAGTGAAAAAAATATCAATCATCTCAACTTCTTTTGCTGTCATATTTAATGTCTTCCTTGCTGATGATCATGTGCTCACCACAGTATGCATGTGTCTACTTCCGTCAGCAGGTTAAATTGTTTCTACAAAGGAATATATTTGTTTCCTTTATTGAGTATTATGAACATTGAGTACAAGTTCCCATATTCTTGTGCACCTGGCTTGGAAATATGTAGATCATTGGAATAGACTTCTCAGGAATTTCCCAGTCATGCCTCATCTGAGTTCTAAATCACCCCTCTATACATATGAGTCCTGTATCTACTAATTCAGTCCATTCAATTAAATTTTATATAGTTAGACATTTGAAGGTATATGTGTACTATTGTTTCTTGCAAACTGTTATTTTGCAAGCACCAACTATTCACATACTGTTTACACTGCTTCGGTTATTTATATGCAAGATAGATAGATAGATGTATTTAAACTTTACCAGGAGGGTTTTTTAAGGTTATGCATGAATACTTTGCCATTTTATTTACTACGAAATGAGAAGTTTTGGATTTTGGTATCTTCATGGGTCTTGAGACCTTTCTTTAGTGGATTTTGAAGGATGAGTGTCCTAGATGAATATAAATGTTCATGAGAAGTTTCATTGTTTTCTCATATCAGTTTTTTTACATTTATTTACTTATGGTGGGGGCAGGGCTCACATGCTACAATGTATATATGGAGGTCAGAGGATAATTTAGTAGAGTCTTCTACAATGAGAGTTCTGAGAATTGAATTCTGGTTACGAGATTTGGTGACAAGTGCCCTTGCTATTGCGACAGCTCACTGGTGTCTGTTCAGCCTACCTTTAACTCATAAATTTATATAATTTGATCTAAAGGTTTTACACAACATCTTATAATTATGGAAATACTATATACTTTTTTCAATGCTGATGGAATATATGAAGAAACTAAAGACTATATATCTATTGATCATTTTCATAGATTTCCTTTCCAGGATGGTTTATTTAAATTCATATATTTTTTATGCAGTTTAGTTGAAGGGATTCTTGAAATTTTAAATTCTGAGATTTTAACCTCCAACCACTGAAAAGTTTTTCTCTCTATCATCTGAAAACAGTTTAAAGTGTTTTACTGTCTATTATTTTGTTTATGCATATGTGTTTGTCTATGTAAGCGAATGTCATAAGTGCAGTATCACAGAATGCAGATGGACATTCACACTACTTCTTACGACTATTTTGCATCATTTCAAATTTTTTACATTTTAAGTGTTGTAGCAATAAATTTATTTATGAGCCTCTTTTTTTATGTCTATGTTCTTATGAAATGTTACTAATTATAGAATTAAGGTAAGGAAACTACTTCCTAAGCATCCAACTTCATGTGGAAGACAATACAAAGACTGACCTTTATCCTGAGATATTTTTCCTATTGTAGTGAAACACAAAAGTATTTTCTCAGAAGTTCCTTATAGAAAATAAAACACCAAGGGGTACTGTTATTGAAAAGGAGATTTGTGACACCCTTAAACCCTGTGAGTTTTCTGCTTCTTACCAGCACTGCATCTGCAGATGTAATCTCTTGTAAAAATAATTCCCTTTATCTGTACCAGCTAAGAGCATTTAAAGCTGAAAATAATACAGCATATTACTGCTTTGTTGTGGATTTTGTATCCTCATACAAATATCACAGAGCAAACAGCAGAAAACTATGCATTCTAAGAAATAAGCTCACACTGATTCTGGGTGATAGGGCAATTTCTTATTACTATTTCTTCATGTCTACTTAAAAGCATCATCTCAAGGCTGCTAAACTTGTCATGAATTGAAAGCAGCTCATTATGTATTTCTTCAGATCTATAAATTTCTATAGCAAGTACTTGGGATAAACTTAGTGATTACCACTGAAGAACAAAGAAACTGGTTCAACCAGAGCTTTCCAACAAAGGACATGGACTATACTGGGGCTGGCATGAAAAATGGTTCTTGAGAAAAACTGCTGCCCTGTAAGGTATCCATGGCTTGTGTACTGCCCACTCTGGTGTGCCTCTTCTTTAACTGTTTCTATTTTCATCTCTGATACATTCACAGTGTCCAGATCCACCGTGCAAACAGGACTTGCTGGCTTACCTGGAACAGATTAAGTTCTATTCCCACCAGCTGAAAATCTGCAGTCAAGTGAAAGCAGAAATCCAAAACTTGGGGGGAGAGCTTATCGTATCGGCTGTGAGTACTGCCTGTCACTTCCTCTGTTACACAAAAGACACTAGAAACAGAGCAAGCGTGGTGCGGCTCAATACTTCTCTCAGATGAATTTAACATAGGACAAAGTCTGTCACAGTTAGTATAAAGTACATGTAATTAAACAAGCAAGAACATTTGCCAGGTTTCTTTTCGAAATATACACATATACACTATATATATATATATATATATATATATATATATATATATATATATATACACATATATACATATATATATGTATATATATACATATATATATTTATATATGTATATACATATATGTTTATATATACATATGTGTGTATGTGTGTGTGTATGTGTATGTATATATGTATCTGTATGCTATTTTTATTTCAGAGACTAAGGAATGTATCACCTTTTGGATACTACCTTGGTAAGAAATTCATGTTCATATGAAACAGTTTTCAAACCTTACCATGTGCACAGAGAGAATTCTGTAATGAGTTCTGTATAATTTTAAAATATGGGACTATAAAAGCATAGATTAATTCTATTATTTTATTACTATTTATTAGTTTTCATTTTCTACATATTTAGTGTTCTAACACAAAAGTTCCAGTCCTGAGATAAAAAAAAATCCATGTGTGATTTTTGAAATAGGGTATTATAAATATTTTTGGTTAAAGGAACTTGCATAAATTCTTTGGTGGCCTTGAGTTTCAATCTGCTTTTAAATTTCCACAGTAGAAATAATGTATGGTAGTTTGTGCTCGTCTTTTAATAACATTAGAGCATTTTCTCTAGAGCAGACACGGTAATAAAATATTTGATGTCTATATTGGATTCAGTTATCAGTGACTTTGAGAAGGACATGTACCAAGGTTATGAATTTAAGTTAAAGTAAAGCATGATGAACATTTTAGGAAGCCACATTGCTAGAACATCTTTTAAAAAGCTGTACCAGTATCCTTATGTGTTTGCCTCCTCTCATCCTTCTACATCCTAGCATTGAACTTTCTCTTAACGTATTGATGTTCTTGAAGTAAATGCAGTTAGAAAAAAAGCAAAGGTTATCATTGAGGGCAGAGAGAGGAAACTAATCATTATTGATTATCTATCTCTGACCTAAGTTTGAGCTCAGCCGTTGCAATCGCATTCCAGGGAGACAGTTATTTGATTGTTTTGTTTTCTTTAATATCTGAATCAATTGTTTCAGAAAGGTTAAGTAGCTTCTCCGGGGTCATAAAGTAAATGTCAAAGTTGAGGTTTCCCGTCAGAGATCTCTGTGTTTTATTTTTTCTGCTGCCCAGCATTGAATCTTGGAGGAAACTGAGGCTTGTAAGAAAAGAGTAAATGATTCAGCAAGAATTAGTACAATTTCTGCCTCACATTTTGTTCCAGAAAAGGTCAGAGGTGAAAATAAAGATTTATTTCTATGATACACAAATTTTAGACAAGCACCCAAACTAATATCAATGGTGATATCCTTTCATTTTTCCAAGAAAATATAGTTTACTAAATCAAAATCATATAAACTATAGCAGCATATCTAGGTAGAAATATACACATATTCATGGCTACTCATTTAACCCAGAGAAAATTATGCAGATATTTGTGATTTTTTTTTATTTTCGGTATAATTATATAGTTATTAACCAGCTATGCACTGTAAACATCAGAAGTAGGAAATTAATTTAATTCATGTAACCCACCAAAACTTGTAGTTTAGTCTATAATACACATGAAGAGAAGACCATAAATTCTTATTTACATGCCGCACAAAGTTTTAAACACAGTGTCTTTTACAATGCACAGAAGGTTTTACATAAGATGGTGAACAACCATACTGACGTAAGGAAATACTGTATTTGGACATCGGCTCTAGTCCAGCCTGTGAGGACAATGGTCACAGCAGTAATACTGCTACTATGTCACATACGGCACATTGCTATCACAGAGAAAGATCTGGATTCAAAATTTAGTATTTGATTTCTACTGAATGTTGTGTCACCTGCCCAGTCTTTAAACATTAAAAAGTTATAGGCCAGATCATTGTGAGCGACTCCTTTCATGAGCACATTACATAGGTATAGTAAGTTATCTGAGTTCCATTTCTGGATTATTAGACATTCAGTCCTTTTTTTCCCCTTTCAATATTTCACACAGTCATCATCTTTATAAGGTCCAAGTTCACACAAATGTTATTTTTCCAAATATATGGTACGGCTTTCATCTCACCCAGAGAAGACCTTTCAAAATATGTGATGCATGTCCACAGGTCTAGTCTTGACATAGCTGTTAAAATACATGACTTCTATACTCATAAATAAATGTCATGTTTAGCATACTCAGAAAAGCTTTCTCCTGAAACAAAGGGGAACAAACACAGAAACCCACAGCTAAGCATAGTGCTGTGAGGGAGAGAACTTGGAACACTCAGCCCTAAATGGGATGTCTCTGTCAAATTCCTCCTCCCAGAGCCCAGGGTTGTCTGTGTTGATATTAGGCCTCCCAGTTTAATGTTCTAATGAGAGTTCTAAGTGTGCAAATGAGTGAGTCTCTGATTCTTGTTCCTTCTTTTGAGATATTTTCCTTCTGTTGGGTTGTGTCCTGCCCAACTTTCATGTGGTAGTTTTGTTTTATCCTATTGTAATTTTTTTTTCATATTTAAAAAAATGACTAAATGAAAACATAGTCACTAGGGTAAAGGTTAACAATTGAACTGTCATTTATACCTACTGGGAATGGGAAAACAGTTTTCTCCAATGGAGTGACGATATATACATATACATACACAAACACACACACACACACACACACACACCAAGGTGGGCCTCATGTTCTTGAGTAGTCGACCAACATATAATAGACTCCATAGTTTTATTTTATGTATACTTTTATGTGGTTATAGTTAGTGGGTAGTTTTGTTTCTTTGTTTGTTTGTCTGTTTGGTTTTTTGTTTTGTTTTGTTTTTTGATGGTGGTATTTTACTTTTTATTTTTTCCGGTTTGATTTTAGTTTTGGGGATTTGGTTGTTGTATCATGTTTTTGTTTCATTTTTTAGAGAAAGTACTTAAAGGGAAAGCAGGAAAAGGGAAAAGAATCTGGAAGGACTCGGGGGAGGGGAATAATATGATCAAAATATGTGTATATTTAAAAAATGTTTTCAATAACATACTACAATTTTTTTTTAAAAAAAGGCCACTCATTGTCCATCCAAAAATGCAATCTTTTTGAACTATATAAACAGCATTATATTCACTATTATTCAGTGTGGTGATTCAAAATCATGAACCACATATTGTATAGACAGAATGGGCCAGATCCATTTAAAATCTGGGCTTTACCATTTAAAAGTGGAGTCATTATGTGTCCATGTATTATTATGAACCCAAAGCTATTTGTCATCATTTTAGTCATAATTCTCCATTAGGAGGATAAATCTGCCAGGAGAAAAGCATGCCCCCTTTTACATTCTCGACATCTGCCTTCAGGTAGACTCGGAAAGCTTTCAACGTACACTTCAGCTTTGTGTGCCAAACTGTCTACTTGCTTGAATATTTCAGTGACCCTATATTCACCTGTTTCCTTTCTTCATCTGTTTTCTTTTATGTCTGCCTTTTCTTGTTCTTCTTTAAATTGAAAACTAAACTGTTATGAGGTGTCTCAACCAAGCTTCTAAAAGCACAGAAACTGATTTTTAACTATCACCCAGATTCTGTATTTAAAACTGCAGCGTTCACTAGAGTGGCTGAGATTCTGAAATGAATAGGCAGAATATATTCTGTGAGTTTCAAGGGTTAGGGCAGAGAAGCTGAATTAATGAAATGAAATTATTTGAAATACATGCACATAGTAGACCATCGAATTGAAATCCATAACTTCTCATTTGTAAGTCTATATGATACACATCTATCTTGAAGTTGCATGATTTACCTATAAGAAACCAAGGTAGGGTTCATTAAAATTAAAGAAAAGGGGCTGAGTTCTTCTTTGTGCCAAGCACACTAATACATCTGGACTACAAGACTGGCTTAGCCTGTGGGTTTTTTATGATGCTCAAGTTCATACAAAAGTAACACAAGGGCAGTGGTTGCTCATACCTCTGATCTCAGCACTCAGGAGGCAGAGACAGGCACATTTTTGAGTTTGACATGTTATCCAGGTCTACAGAGTGAATTATGTAGGACAGCCAGGGCTACACAGAGAAACTCTATCATGAAAAGCTAATAACTAACTAATGAACTTATTTACTTACTTACTATAAAAGTAACATTAAAAATACATTTGAGTGTGTGGCATTAGTGTAAAGCAATGGAATAAACCATGTATTAGGAATGTGCACAGATGTACATGGTTGAACAGGCAAGGGGGTAATTAATTCTTCCAGTATGCAGAGTGGGGAAGAGAAAGCTACAGAAGTTGCTTGATCCAAATATGGGCCTTGACTATTCAGTGACAATTAGATGTGCTTTTCTGGAGGAAGGACAAAAGAGGACCCAGGTGGCGGAGACAATAAGACAAGAGGATACAACAGGGTAGCTATAGAATATTCATGAAGGCCAGTAGAATAGTTTGACTGAAGATAGTATTGCTCATATTATTTGCATGTGTGTTGTGTAGTGGAAGTAAACAGACTTCACCTCAGAGAAAGTTGACTTTAAGTTTGAGAGGGACACAATGAGATCTGTGCATTTGGAAGTTAACTAGGCGATGTTACTGATAGATTAAAAACAGGGTGTTAGGAGGGAAACCATTGGGTTGTAAGGGCTTGCTTTAATATGATTCAGAGCGAAGTAGTGAGAAAGCCTCTTATTTCTGAAATCTCAGTGAGCATGTGAAGTGTGAGGTCAATATGCTGTTACATGTTAAGGATGAAGGACAAGTAAGACTTTAATGTTCTGGACATTGGCAACTTAGCTAGCAATGACAACGTGAAATGGTACAAATGGTGAGAGCATCATGTCTAGAAGAATAGGTAGACATGTTCAATTTTATTCATTTAAGTTAGGTGACAATGGAACATCTGAGGGGAGAAAGGTCCAGGAGAACTGGGGCATGCATGCAATGATGACTCTTAGGGAAGATTAAATGAGTGCTGGAGA